GCGAACCAGGAAAATGCCGCTGTTTTCTGTTACTCTGTCAGTTGGGTTTCGATAGATCACCTGATTCTTTTGTTAATGATGCGGTTAAAATTTCTTACATCATCGGTCTGTTACGTGGTAGAGCCCTACAATGGGCCGAGGCTAGAAGTCGGCAATCTACTTTTCTACAGGGAACGCTCTCAACATTCCTAGCCGAATTTAAATCTTTGATCAGTCCGAATCCCCAGCCGAAATAGCTAAACAAATATGGAGTCTCCAGCAGGGTCAACAATCGGTTTTAGAATTCGCCATCGAATTTCGTACTCTTGCTTCCACTTCTACACTAGATGAGCCTTCCCTTAGGGACGCTTTTTCTCAGGCACTTAATGAAAAAATCAAGGATCAATTAGCGTTTTGCCGAGAACCGGAGAACCTTGAGTCCCTGGTCCAGCTGGCCGCTAACATTGAGAAACGTCTTAAGGAGAGATACAAGACACATACCTGTTGATGCTCCACAGCAACGACCTCACCACACCCACCAACACTCCCCTCCGGCTCACCTTGAGGAACCTATGCAGATAGGACAAGCGCATTTAACCTCTGAGGAGAAAGCTAGACGTCGTTCCCTAGGCCTCTGCCTTTACTGTGGTCAGCCTGGTCACTTGCTGCAAAATTGTCCGGTTCAGCCAAAAACCAGGGCCCATCAGTAGGACCGGGATCACTAATGGGTGGAATTCCTGGCACCCTGAATTCCCGGTGCAGTTTAACTTGTGCTGTCTCCTTCAACCAACAGACTGTTTCTACTCAGGCGCTAGTGGACTCTGGGTGCGAGAGAAGTGTCCTGGATCAAACCATAGTACAACAGCTCAAAATTCCTACTATTCCTCTGTCTACCCCCATCCGCGCTTCCTCGTTGGATGGCTGTTCACTCACAACCATAACGCATCGCACTGTTCCCATTAACCTACAAATCTCTGGTAACCATCATGAGACTTTGAGTTTCTACATTTGTCCTTCTCCCCAGTCGCCAGTTGTGTTGGGCCATGAGTGGTTAGTTTTACACAACCCACAAATTGACTGGAAGACCGGGTTGTGTCTGTCTGGAGCCCCTACTGTCTGTCTCACTGTCTCCTTTCAGCTCCGCTTCCTGCCCAGACCACCAATAACCCTCCTCAGGAATCACCCGATCTTACTGGAGTCCCTGCTGAATATCACAACATTCAACAAGTGTTCAGTAAAGACCGAGCGTCCTCTCTACCTCCTCATCGCCCGTATGACTGTGGAATTGACCTCGTCCCGGATGCTATTCTACCCACCAGTAAGCTGGGCAGTCTTTCTAAACCTGAACAGGCCTGTATGTCTGATTACATTTCAGAATCCCTAGCCTCTGGCATCATACGACCATCCACTTCTCCCCTGGGCGCCGGGTTTTTCTTCGTTTCAAAAAAAGATGGTTCGCTCCGCCCCTGCATCGACTACCGTGGCTTAAATCTTATCACCATCAAGAATAAGTATCCTCTGCCTCTGCTATCATCCACATTCGAACCCGTTAATGATGCTTCCATCTTCACTAAATTAGATCTGAGCAACGCCTACCACCTGGTCAGAATTTGTGAAGGAGACGAATGGAAGACGGCATTCAAGACTCCTCTCGGACACTTTGAGTATCTTGTGATGCCTTTCCCCAGCCGAGCAGAATTACGATGTGGATGATCGTGAACTGTTGGCAGTAAAGTTGGCTTTGGAGGAATGTGCTACTGGCTGGAGGGAGCTGAGCATCCAATAACCATCTGGACTGACCATAAAAACTTGTCGTACTTAAAAGAGGCTAAGAGACTGAATCCCCGCCAATCTCGTTGGTCATTATTCTTCTCTTGATTTAACTTTGTCATATCTTACAGACCCTGACGCCCTCTCTCGACAGTATGCCTCCGACAGAGAGGTGGAGCCTATCACCATCTTACCTGCTTCCTGCATAGTCGGCTCCATTGCTTGGGATATTATTAACAAGGTCCTGGAAGCTCAGCAGCAGGATCTCAATCCAGGTACCCGGCCCCCAAATAAGATCTATGTCCCTACCTGCACCCGTGGAGCTCTCATACGTTGGGCCCACACCGCCAGATTTTCTATTCACCCAGGCCTTGGCAGGACTATTGCTCTCATCAGAAGGACATTCTGGTGGCCCTCCATGTACCGTGATGTTAAAGAATATATCAGCGCCTGTCAGGTATGTGCCAGATGCAAATTCAGTAACCAACCTCCTCAGGGTTTCCTCCAGCCTCTGCCTGTTCCCCATCGCCCATGGTCCCATATTGCTCTGGACTTTGTAACTGGTCTTCCCATGTCTAAGGGTTCACTGTCATTCTCACTATTTTTGACCGTTTTTCGAAAGCATGCCATCTGGTTCCTCTGAAATCCCTTCCGTCATCCACCGAGACTGCCAACCTCTTCATTAAACATCTCTTCTGTCTTCATGGATTGCCCAGCGAGATCCTGTCTGACCATGGCCCCCAGTTCATCTCTCGTGTGTGGTCTGACTTCGCCCATCACCTGGGAGCCAAGGTTTGTCTCACTTCCGGCTTTCACCCACAGACTAACGGGCAAGTGGAATGCATGAATCAGGAACTGGAGGCTATGCTGCGCTGCATCTGTTCTTCCAATCCTGCCGGATGGAGTTTGCAGCTGCTATGGGTGGAATATGCACACAATTCCCGCACCTCGTCATCCACAGGTCAGTCCCCATTTGAAGTCTCACTTGGATACCATCCTCCTCTGTTTCCCTCCGACTCTGCTTCCTCCACCTCAGTCCCTCAGGTTTTGCGCCAGGCCCTCCGCACATGGACTCAGACTCGTGCAGCACTCCAACGTACTGCTGAGCGCAACCACCGGATTGCTGACCGTCACAGACGGCCGACGCCTACCTACACCCCAGGTCAGATGGTCTGGCTCTCCTCCCGGGACATCAAGGTCCGTGGGTCCAACAGGAAATTCTCTCCTCGTTTCCTTGGACCTTTTCCTGTGGCTGAAGTTCTGGGTCCGGTCTCTGTCCAGTTGGCACTGCCTCCATCCATGAAGGCACATCCAGTCTTCCATGTCTCCCTCCTCAAGCCGGTGGTGTCCAGCCCTCTGTGCCCTCCTGACGCTCTGCCTCCACCCATCCGCCTCGCCGACAGGGGTATCGGCTACCGAGTGCATCGCATCCTGGATGTTCGACCGCGTGGTCGCGGCCGGCAGTTCCTGGTGGACTGGGAGGGGTACGGTCCTGAGCACCGGCAGTGGATTCCTGGATCCTGGATTGAGGATGTCTCCCTGATTGAGGACTTCGAGGCCTCCCGTGTTTCCTCCTCCTCTGCCTAATCCTCCTCTGCTGGGCCGCCAGGTGGCGTCCCTTGGGGGGGTGGGGGGTGGGGGTGGGGGTGGGGGTGGGGGTGGGTGGGCACTGTCACGGTTTGCCTCCATCTACTGGTGAGGTGTTCAGCTCTGTGTTTGCAGGTGGGCGCGGCAGTCTTCACAGCTGTTGGGAGTTCCACTAATTGGAGGTGCAGAGGATTTAAGGAGTGGCGTGACTCAACCCCAGTGCCGGTTGATACTCTCACATGGGTAGCATCTAGCCTTGAATCTGCCTTTGTCTCTGCGATCCAGAACAAATGATTTTTGTATCCTGTCCTAGTATCCTGCTCTGCACCACCTACCTTGCCTGGAGTTGTCTCACGTCTCGCCACTCAAGGATCCTCCGGTCTCCATTCTCCACACCTGCCCGCCTGCCCGCGCTCAGAACCATCTCACCCGGTCCAACCACTTCCAGTCTCGTCTCCGTTCAAATCCTGGCTACTAAAAGTTCTTAGGGTCCGAAGCCAGGATTTGAACGGAGACAAGACTGGAAGTGGTTGGACCGGGTGAGATGGTTCTGAGCATGGGCAGGCGCAGAACTGGCTCATCTCGAACACGGCTATTGGCTGTGTTCGAGATGAGCCAGTTCTGCGCAGATTCGATCACCAGTGATCGACGTGCAGTGCATGCCGGTTAGATTTGTGTCCGACTTGACGCCGACTTGCTCTGACGTCATGCATACGTAGGCAACGATAGCCTTGTGAGATCAAGGCGGCCGCAGACTTTGGAGCAAGGCGCTGCAGTTGCTCTCCACCGGCTGCAAAACCTAGAGGATGATGGGAAACGCCTGGCTCTCACCTGATCTAAGATCTGATTGGTTCATATTTTGATCCAAACATCCGGTGGTAGAACATGAAATGTTAGTTGGTCACATCGTTTTTATATATTGTCTGGTTTCATTTAAAAAGCACTGAAAGGAAGGTTTTGCATTAGAAAATTTCAACTTATGTATAAGAAATTTAGCTAATAATATCAATATCAATAAATTAATCAAAAAAATTCAAACCATACATCATTCTCAAAATTTGAACGCTGTCAAAACCATAAACTTATGTTCCCTGTTCAATATCATGTGATTTTTGTTAGACTGTTTTGTTTTCCCATAGAAACCCCCTGACATTGAGCTTGTTATTTCTTTGTAGTTGTATTCTGTGCTTTGTCAATAAAGCGTATTCAAGGAGAAAAAAAATGATAGTTGGTCACATGTATTCTGTAAATCATGTTATGTTGATGATGACAACAATATAGGCCATAAAGAGAAATGTGTTTTGTGTTCTTTTGTCACGTTTCCTATGAGCACACTAAACCTACAGCTGATAACCTTTACTTATTATTACAGTCAGGTCTCCATATACAATATATGATATCCACAAGCATGTGAGGATGTGTGTGCTGCTAACAGGCACCAGAATTACAATAAAACATTAAACAAGTATGAACTCTAACGGGATATCTTCAGCCATCGTCACCCCCGAGCTACACATGTAGGGAAATCTGTCCGACTTAAACGCCGGTGTCTGTACAGGATCTGCTCGGGTGCAAGATCGGCTCGGGGTCCTTCGACTGCCGATGACGTCAAAGTACGGCAAACTCACTCGGACAAAATAAACTACACATCTGTACTGTTGGAAAGAATTTAGCAGTTTTTTTTTTTTTACATCGTAAGCTACAGGTCCCAACCCCTTTAAGGCTTGTTACTCGTTTACTTCAAAAGGCATCTTCCAGGTTCAAATTTTAAGACTTTTTATGGCAGCATTAGTTACATAAATCAGGGTTAAAAAAAAAGAGCAAAGATTACACTGAAATTAATTTTAAACGATCCCAATTAAAGTTTAGCTTTAACAATTACATTTAAATAAATCGTCATGTCTGGCTCACTCAGATGTACATGTAAGGTGTCCCACAAACATCTCTCCCTTTATTAAAACCACTGACAACAACCCGCTTCACACCAACATGATCAGTTTTCCATGTATTAAGGTCTATAAAAACTGCTTTTCCATGAACTTCTCCAGTGTCAGGAGTTGTTCTATTAATGTATGTCTGTCTTTTTGCTGTTTAGTGATAACTCAGAATAAGAACCATCAGCTATGTGTCTTGAATTGAGTCTAGTTATGTTTCTACAATCACTGCAGATTTAAAACAGCACAGCATCTAACGGGCAAAAGTTTAGGCATTTTAAGAAAGCTGGACAGATCATGAAAAAATTAAACATTCACATGAACAGTTTCTTCTTTATTTCTAATTTTCTATTTCAGGACAACCTGCAGAAAGCATCTCAGTTAAATAATATTGGCTGCAGGAGTTTAACATCAGAGTTCAGTAGATTGTTGCCAGTGATTTTGTAAAAAAGATTTACACACTAAAAAGCAATTTCTAGCCAATTTTAGATTTTTTTCTTTTGGATCAACAGATGAAAGAAAGGCGCCTATATTTTAAAGAATTATAGAAAAAAAAACCTGTTTTGGGGCAAATTTGAACTTACAGAACTAAACATTTCAACCCTTCCTATTCAGACATTTTGATCTGCTTCTCGTTTAAAAAAGTAACACACGATGTTTGCTGTGACGAACGAGAGCAGATCTCATCTGGAGCTCGTCCAGAAGTCCGTGACCGTTAAGTAAAATCCCTGCCATCAGCGCCCTCACAGCTCGTGGCCGTAGACGTGATCTTCAAACACAGATTGCTCCATGTGGTCACAGATCATGGTGCAGAAGGGACAAACCCAGTGGCTCTGCTCGTGCTGCTCCAGCTCGTTCTCAGTTATTCCTGGAAAGCTCTCCTGGCAGTGACGGCACACCATCACCGGCTCCTCCAGCCGGATGCTGTCTAAGGTCTCATAGATGTTCTCCTGGTGTCTCTGCAGGTTCTGGTTGGCTGAATTTTCTCTGACAGGTGCTCCGATGTCGTCGTGCTGCAGGTACATTGATTCTGAAGCGGCAGCAGTAGTACCAAGATCACCGAGGCTTGTGTAAACCACACGCAGCTTCTCAATCTCACCTCTGAGTTTCTCATTTTCTCTGACAAGTTCGTTCTTCTCTAGAGTCCACAGCATAACCCTTTTCTCATTGTCTTCAATCAGGATGTCCTTATCGGCCATCAGTCCACTCATCTCTTTAACTTGCATCTCAGCTTGTCTCCTGGCCTTTCTGGTCTCCTCCTTCTCAGATGCCAGCTTCGCCTGAGTCTCCTGCAGCTGCCTGGTGACACCCTGATACTGTACCTTCACGTCATCCTGTGGCAATGTCTCCTGCTGTGACAACCTCCTGCACAACTCCTGGTTCTCCCTCTTCACTTCCTCTATGCTGCAGGTGAGGCTTTGTAATCTTTGCAGCTCAACTGTGAGTTTCTCCTTCTCTTTGTAGGTGCTCTGATAGTCCACCTGCAGAAGTTGGAATCTGTCGTTTGTTTTGGACAGCTCTCGTTCTTGTTCTCTGAGTTTGGCATTCAGCTTGGTAAGCTCGTCACTTTGAGCATCAACCTTCGTCCTCAGCTCGTCAAGTTCCTCTTTCAGCTGATTGATCTTCACCAAAACTCGTTCATATTCATCTTCGTTTGATTTTGAGGACAACAAGCTTTGATTCAGCATTTCCTGCTCAGTCTGCTGGGTCGCCATCTTTTCCTTTAACCGGTCGTTCTCCTTCAGCTGCTGCTGCAGTGTCTGTTTCAGCTTATTGTTGTGCTCCTTGATCTGATCCATTTCTCTGTTCAGTTTAGTTATTTCAGTAACTCTCTGCTCATCGTGCTCCATGGAGCTGTTGATTTCCTTCTGTTCCTTCTGCAAAGCACTCCTTAATGCATCGTTTTCCACTCGCAGCAGGTCCAACTCTGTCTGCATTTCTGCCTTCTCCCGCTGGCTCTGATCAACTTGGTCCTGTGTTGTGATCACCAGCAGCTCGTCGTCCACTAGGCTTCCCGTGTTTTGCTCAGCTTGGTTTCTGAAACAGAACGGAGTGTTTGCTCCTCACCTGTCCAACACTGTCAATGTAGCAGAACTGGTAGAACTCGATCTCGTCTTTAGGCAGGTAGTATTCCTTGAACACAGCCTGCCTCATTATCCTCTGACTCGCCTCGGGATCCTCAGTGGGCTCCACCCACACAAAGGTATGATAATCTTTAGTGGAGCTCCACCCGACCTTGAAGATGCCCACCCAGTCCATGGAGCTGGGCTGTAAGGCAGCACTGAGGGTAAAGCGGCAGGTGATGGGGGCTGAGCGTGGGTATGCCTGTGGGATGTCAATGAAGACCACCTGGGAGAAGGCGGGAGGTGAAAGGTCAGCTCCTGCCTCTGTGAGGGTCTCCATGCTGAGCTGCAGAAAAGAAAAACTTTTAGCAGGTGTCGCAGTTCGAGGGGAGACAACACAACCAGAATTTAGCAGTTTCGTTATTAAAATTTGCTTGGACCAATGTAACGTGATTGCGTAGTTCCGTAAGGTTCATGTTTAGCCAATCAACTACTTAGACGTCATCGGCAGTCGACGGACCCCGAGCCAATTTTGCACCCGAGCAAATCTTGTACCGACACCGGCTTTCAGCCACTCCCCCGCTGCTTCCGTCTGCTCTCGTCTGTTTTCCAGGCGAGGCACAGCTCAACTCGAACACGGCCAATGTTTATGGAACTAGGATTGGGACAATATTCAGCGTAACTTGTACCAAGTTTTGTAACTGCAAACATGTTTCATCACATGTAACTTTGGATTCGTAGTTACGAATCCAAAGTTACAAGTTACGAATCCAAAGTTACATGTGATGAAACATGTTTGCAGTTACAAAACTTGGTACAAGTTACGTTGAATATTGTCCCAATCCTGGTTCCATAGATAGATAGATAGATAGATAGATAGATAGATAGATAGATAGATAGATAGATAGATGGATAGATGATAGATAGATAGATAGATAGATAGATAGATAGATAGATAGATAGATAGATAGATAGATAGATAGATAGACAGATAGATAGATAGATAGATAGATAGATAGATAGATAGATATTTAATATATAGATAGATGATAGATAGATAGATAGATAGATAGATAAATAGATAGATGGATAGATAGATAGATAGATGATAGATAGATAGATAGATAGATAGATAGATAGATAGATAGATGGATAGATGATAGATAGATAGATAGATAGATAGATAGATAGATAGATAGATAGATAGATAGATGATAGATAGATAGATGATAGATAGATAGATAGATAGATAGATAGATAGATAGATAGATAGATAGATATTTAATATATAGATAGATAGATAGATAGATAGATAGATAGATAGATGGATAGATAGATAGATAGATAGATAGATGATAGATAGATAGATAGATAGATAGATAGATAGATAGATAATTAATATATAGATAGATAGATAGATAGATAGATAGATAGATAGATAGATAGATAGATAGATAGATAGATAGATGATAGATAGATAGATGGATAGATAGATAGATAGATAGATGATAGATAGATAGATAGATAGATAGATAATTAATGTAACGTGAGGAAATATGGGTTTTCTATCACAAAGGTGGTGTTGGACTCAGCTGTGTCAAAGCTGGGTCGCTGAGAACTTTCACCCACAGATTAAGACCTGAACGCCAGCGAGTCTGGGAGGAAACCATAACATCTGCCACCTGCAGTCTACCAGAAGATGTGTTTACATGAGTTGTACCCAGACCAAGTCAAAACATAAAGTTTAAACTTCTTTTTCTTGATTTTAATGTTAAAATAACCATTATCATTTTGCTCATTATAAATGTGTTTAATCAAATGAATGACTTATGCTTTGGGGTAATTATAATGGTTTAATGAATCCATTCTTAAATAATGTTGAGAATGTTTGTTACTGACCTTCACACACACTCAAGCACAAACATTCACACACATCCACACACACCTGCTCACAGTAAACTCCAGACACATTTGATGACGCACGTTTGCTTTGAGAAGAGAAAGGTTTTTGGTAAGTTTTCAGTCTTTTGAGGCAGTTCGTGTTGGACAACGAGAGAGAACAGACCTGAAAACCAAAGGGGGGGCAGAGCCTGTTGGCTCGTTCTTCCCCCCTTCTCTCGCGCTGTTTCTGCCACGCCAGGCAGAATAGCTGAACCGCAACTTCTAACGCAGACTCATTACCGAGTCTTTTGATTTCTGAGTGAATTAACTTAAGAAAGCGCGTCGACAAAACGCTTTACCATCAACGTGTACCGAGGGACAACTCTGGACCGGTTCGCAGCGCATCTTTGTCTTCTTTGCCAGCCAAGGTGCCCTGGATGAAACATCCTAAGGTGACGTCCCGGGTCCAACAGAGGGTCCGATTTTCGGTGAGGCAAAACACGACAGATAGCGTTTTGATGCATCTTTTCCAACTAAAAGCCTAAGTTTATTCAAACCATCACTTCACTCAGACACCTGTTTCTTCCTGAAGCAAAATCAGATGCACACATGCATTCATCTCATCTCATGTTCAATTCTCACTACACTTGGCACCCACACGCCTCCATAATCACATCATATCACTCTCAATCTTCATTCACCTACAAAAGGTCTATTTGAGCATTAACAGCATATCAACTGTTAAAAAGATTGTCCCACAAAGTTATCAATGTTGATTGTATTTCCTGTTTGTCAATTTCAAAATCATTAGTTTAATTTGAAGAATTAAAACTTTTAAACGTCAAACTGGTTTCCTCATTGAACTGAAACACAGACACTCAGATATTATCGGCAGTTTATGGATGAAAACAACCTTTGAGTCTTCTGAACAATATAAAATTTGGTTATTGATTTATTAAAACTAATATTCCGAATTAATACGTAGCATGGTTTCTCTTTCATAAAAGAGCATCAATCCATAACGCTACATTTAATGGCGAGCGTATCCAGTCTTCTATATCTGCGATATGTCTGATTTCTTACATCTAAGAGCTACAAACAACGCTTTTCTCTGTGTTTCACTTTGATGTCTTATTTTGAACTTAACCGGAAATTGTTCCGCTCACTAAATTCTCCGACCTCAGAACCGAGACTAAATTCTCGGACACCTTTCGTCTCAGTGTGTTGACACTGTGGGCGAGCTATTGTGGAAAATATCTCCATTGCATGAGCGACTTATAGAAGCCGAATCTAAACGGAATGCCCGTAGGCACCTACTGTTGCTTGATTGCACGGTAAACGTCGTAAGCCGGGTTATGGCCGTCACGCGTTACTGCATTCAGATTGCGTGCGCTTTTTAAACGGAATGCTCGGTGACACCTGCCGGAGCTTGACTGCTCGGTAAACGTCGTAAAGCGAGGCACAGCCGTTACGCGTTACTGCATTCAGATTGCGTACGTTTTTTTTAAAGTCCGTATTAAAAGTGGAGCGAGATGCCTACTTGTTAATCGGGGAAATTTCAGTCTGGCCGCTACAGACAAAGAACGCTAGGCCTGGCCGGGGAGCTAAGCTAGCGCCACAGTTAGACAAATAGGGCACGCGTCCCGTTAAATTGTCATCATTTCTGGCACAGTTGGTCTGTGTCCTCACAAAACCCGCATTGGCGGTGATTCTTGTAAATCGCTACGGTGTGTAGAATCTACATTTTGCTACGTTTGTCCGTCTGATACCAACACGGCAGCGTAGGGTTTGTTATTTTTTTTATTATTTTTATTTTGGACCGGTGAACGGGTCGGCTTTCACAGCCTCCGTTGCTCGGTTCCATGCCTTTTTCTTCCATCTTGTGAAGTAGTGTGTATTCATTTCTCTATCAACAATTCCTTGTTTTACCCTGTGTCATTAAGTTAAGTAGGCTACGGACAGTCCTTGTTGTGTGAGACATATTAAGGAATCTGCCCGGAGTTTTACGTCGGCTCAGAAGGTAGAAACGCGAGTTGCTCTGAACTTAATGGGAGATGGACGAGACACGACAAAATCTTTCTTGCACTGTTACACCTGATGTAAGGTTCTCTGACGTTCTGCTTCCAGAACATGCCAAGACGCAGGACATTCACCGGCCGAGCATCGCTGGTCCCTCCGCCCGCCCGAACGGGCCCGTTTTAGCCGGGTGCCGCCGGTCGGGAACAGTGGGGACTAGTGGCTGCGGTTCGGTGCCAGCTGCACTGGGTCGGAGGTGGTTCTGGTCTGCACTTCATGTCGTGAATTCGAGCAACATGCTGTTTACAGTCATAACGCTTTTTCTTTACTTTTATTTCTTCCAGGGGGTAAAAAACCCACCATCAACATCCAGGTTTGAAATAAACAACACTTTCTCTGCTGCTTTTAAGCTGAATGAATCTCTTGTGCCTATGGTTAACCTCTCTGACAAACAGGTTGTGCTTAGCCCTTTGGTTCCTAATGCTTCTCCTCTGTCATCCATGTTAAAGGCTGAACATCTCTCCAGCATGGGTGTGCAATCTTCAGGCTGTGATCCACCGCTTCAGTCAGAGGTCCGTTTTACTCGTCAGTCCGCTTCATGCACAAACCAGCTTCTTTATCGGGGCGTGATGGAAACGTCAGCCGCCGTGAAACGCTTGTGGTCTCCGGACGGAGCTACCAGGCCATTTGGGGGGTTTGTGCCCGGACATCTTGACCTTTATGTGAATGACCTTGTCACTTTTCAGTTTGTGACCTCTGCTAATACGGTGGCCAATTCTTTTCTCCTTTCACAGGGGTGTGACTTAGTCTCGGGCCTCTGTGCTCTCTTTCCTGTGATTTCTCTTACAGGTGACCACGACGACGCAGAAAACCCTGCGGTTTCCAGCAGTCCTGTGGTCAGTGGCGATATTAAAGGTGGCTCGGTGGTTGCTGCGCACACCTCTCTCACGGGCTCGGGAAGGCAACCCGGCCCGGGAGGCGTAGGTGCGTGCAGTGATGCTCTGCTCGGGGCCCCTCCTGACAAAGGGGGGGTGCTGAGTGGCTCTGAGTTTTCCGTTGCGGGCTTCAACCAGTTCGGGGGAACGCCTCCTCCGAGCGGGCGGGTCATTGCAGAACTCGACACTGACCTTCCTCCAATTCAGCTGACAACGTTGACCTCCGACCCGGAGTTAGGTGCTGCACCTTCTACGGGGCGGAGTTCTAGTCAGTCTGTAACTACTCTGGTTAAACCGGGTTTTTCTGATTCTGTGTGGGAACCTCCATCATTCTTGGGAATAAAGTATTCTTGGTTTCAGTTTTCAGGACAGACCATGTTCCTAAAGCTAGCGACATGTCTGTATCTGATTCTAAACGTGGCTAGGTTTGCTTTGACTCCCGTGACACAACCATCCTTGGATCACTCCTTTTCAGAACCTCCAAGTCCAACACCTCCAGGTCTTTGGACATCTGAACACCTACTCTTTCAGCACGATTCAGGTGACACTGTGCATCTTCTTGGTAATAGAGCTTTTAAGAGCTTAAGAACTG